GAACATGTCTGATAAAATTTCATGGAGCCAAGAAAGCCATGTGATTGAAAATAGGATTGAAGGGTGCAGGGAGAAAGGACTCAACTTCTTCACGAAGCAATGGGGTGGTAGAAGGTTAGTGCAGGGGTGAGGGGTGAATGAAAGGTTAGTGCAGGGGTGAGGGGTAAATGAAAGGTTAGTGCAGGGGTGAGAGGTAGATGGAAGATTAGTGCAGGGATCAGGGGTGGACGGAAGGTTAGTGCAGGGGTGAGAGGTAGATGGAAGGTTAGTGCAGGGGTGAGGGAGGGTGCCATTCATTATTATTATAATGTTATGTATTTGAAACTTTTAAAAAGTATGTCTCATATTAGTGAACATGAGTTAAAATTATCTTTAAAAGGAAAAATTAGAAAAACAATCTGTACCACCAAAGTTTTACAAAGGAAGCCAAAGTGTAAAAGTTTCTCTAAAAACTATAAGGCGTTGTTGACATAGCTATACAAAAGGATCCCTCAGCCCAGCAGAGAGCAAAAAAGAGCAAACCACTGGGAAGAGGGAAGTAGGAAGAAAGAAGGAAAGGAAGCAGAAAGCAAGAGGGAGGAGAGGTCACACAATAAGAAATCAATTTTAAAATTAATAAGAAATTAATTTTTAAAATGTGTATATCAAACAAACAAACAAAAAACCCAGGGTTCACTGCTCTCAGAGGACCAGAGTGTGGCTCCCAGCACCTATATCAGGAAGCTCACAACCACCTGAAGCTCCAGCTCCAGGGGATCTGACACCCTCTTCTGCTTCCTCCAGGGAAAACAGACCCTTCAGACTCCAAATATGACTGGAACAACCTCTGTCTGTCGTCTATTCAGAAATGCTGATCTTAGTGTAAAATGACAACTGTCATTAAACAGTCCCATTTCTTAAGACTGTTCTATGCAATATCATATATGCCTGAGACCTGGAACCTCTGCAATGTATATGAAGGAAAAACCTCACTCGCTTCGACAGCCGTGACTCTGTGTTGATATAAGGGAAAACAATGTGCCTGTCAAAATAAATTTGAAAAGGATTTAGCAAACCCTTTTAAGACAGACACAAAAGGAACATAGGCTGCTCACACAATTTGGTACCACTACTTCAAGTAAGAGCTGAGACACTGAAGATGGTTGAATAGACAGACAGATGAACACAGAGAGTTGATTTTTGATTAGCTAGATATGCTGACCCATAACTTTAATCCCAGCCCTCAGGAGGCAGAAACAAGCCACTCTCTGTGAGTTTGAGGCCAGACTAGTTTTTAGAGTCCATTTCAAGCTACATAATGGGACCCTGTTGCAAAATGAATAAATAAATAACATGTAAGTTTAACTCTTTCAGAGCTTTGCAGTGAAATTATACATTATGTAATTGCTAGTTTCTTCTGTGTTGTTTTGTTTGTTCATGGTTACTGCCTGCCCCTAAAATAGATCAAGGGGAGAGCCATTTATAAATAACCTATGAGTGGACCAAGTTAAAGAAAGGTTATTTGTCCTTTACCCTTAATTTGCATTAATTGGGAGCAGCAGTGAGAAACAGGGCCAGCCTCACCTAGGCTCAGATGACTAAGCAAAAGGAGCCGCTTCCTCCCGCCCACAAATAAGTATATCCCAAGTTGGAATACAAATCAGTTACAGAACAGAGTTCTTTTGAAACTTCAAAATAACCACACTAGTATCATATTTTTTGCCCCAATTTTAAAAGATGTAAAAGACACACATTTCTAAACTACAGTGGCTCCAGGAAAGGATTCTCATCTCCACTTTAGTCAGTCTGCTTTGAGCTCTGAGCAAATTCCCAGTTCCCTGTTTTCTAAAGAGAAGAGTTAGAACCAGGTTTAGATTGGGAAGGTTGAAGCTTCAGCTACCTCTTTAAAGGGCTTCAGCACAGCCAAGCAACACTGTGAGCTTGTGTACTGGACAGACTTGGATCAGGTTGCTTTGCAGGAACACCATGAAGGAGATGCTGTTTGTATTACACAGATTCTGGGGCCACCTCCCCAGCACCAACATCTCCAATTCTTAACAGTTTTCACTTTGAAACCAGCATCCATTCTCGGGCATTCAGAACAAGCCCGTGACATCAGGGTTCCGGAGTGTGGCCTCTGTCTAGTATCTCTCTTACTGTTGGGCATGATACTTAATCTTTCTCTGACTGCCTTTTCCTAATCTGGAAAACAAGCCTGTTAATACTGTCTGTCTTCTATGGTTACTGTGAGGACAAAAGCATGAGAAATTATTGCTACCATAAAGTATACTTTATAAAAATTTATTAATAAGGTCAATGCCTATGGCCCGAGCACTCTATGGGCTGGGGCAGAAGATCAAAAGTTTTAAGCCAGCCTGGGCTACATAGTGAGTTCCAGGCTGGTCTTGGAAACAGAAGGGGACCTATCTTAAAAAGAACAAAGTACAATAAAATTTAAATAAGTATTTAATGTGAATCAGGTTGGGGGAGTTTTATTGTTTTCATGTAACCACATTCAAATCTATTCCTTAGTGTCTAAATCAGAATTAAATTACTAAATTATATTCATATATATAAAGAGAGAACTTTGATATCGTATCTACAGAAAGTACTGTTTATCTTTAGATATTCATGTCAGGACTCAGGGTGTGCTTGTACTCAATACTACCGTAAAACCAAATCAGCCCCAGACATAAACCTCTTTGCTCTATTGACTCCCTCTTTGAAAATGCTTTTAGGATGCATCATGCTCCTCCATGCTTAGTCTCTAGCCTATACTGTCAGCATTTCTCCTCTCTTTGGAGGCTGCAGGTGAGGTGTATGACAAGAAGTTTATGATGAGAGCAATGGAGAGAGACTTTGAAGAAAATAAGTGAATACATCTCAAGAGTCATCTTTAATGTGGTTTTCACATGGACCATGTTAGCAACAATAAATTTTAATAAGTATGTGTTGCTTTCATGGCATGTGTGCTTTGCATGGAGGCATGGTGTGGATGAGTCTTCCTGAACACCAGGTCAGGCCTGAGTAGGGCAGCAGAGTAACTCTGCACATGCCCAACATGTGTCGCACATGTTCCAGTGGCCAGGAGTTCCTTTAATGTGATGAACAGGGATTTTCTGGTGCTGTGAACAAAGGGTGAAGGGGCAGAAACCGAGTGTTTGCACAAAGTGGAGCGAGCCCTTTTTTTTTTTTTTTTTTTTTTTTTTGGATTTTCGAGTCAGGGTTTCTCTGTGTAGTCCTGGCTGTCCTGGAATTCACTCTGTATACCAGGCTGGCCTCGAACTCAGAAATCCACCTGCCTCTGCCTCTGCCTTCCAAGCCCTTATGTATCCTGTGGAGATCCAGGAAAGGGAGGGGAGGGTATGAAAGGTTCGTAGAGAAAGAAGATGTGCTGAAAATACATTCATGCTTATAGACAAGTATAGCAAAGTCCAGAACTTTGTATAATTAGTATAGGCGTTTTTTTTTTAAATGTAGACATACAGAGATAGAAAGTGATATTATGTGGTAAATTTACAATGCCTGGGTTGTGGCGGTGGCTCTGTAGGTAGATTCTGCTCTACAAGAATGAGGAGCTGAGCTCTGGTTCAACGTATCCTCATGAAAAGTTGGGCATGTTGGTTACCCTGGCACTGCAGGTGTTTGTATATTACAAGATAGACACACACCTCACCTGTGCGGAAGTGGCTTGTCTTCCTATCTGTTCATAGGGGCATAATGGTTTTACTCTGGGGCTGCTCTGCTCTTCTTCATTTCTCTTCCCATAAGGTCGGGGAGAGCCCATCACTGGTCAGGGACTCTTGGAAGAGGCTTTAAGACCACAATATGCTAGGGGCTGCAGCAGGTGGGGCCAGCTTCTCAGTGAGCTTAAAGAGAGAATGACAATTTAGTAATAACATTTATGACACACACCAGTACAAACAAAAACCACCCATACCCAAGCCAGGAAATAGTGGCTCACTGTTGCAATCTCGGTTCTCACAAGCCTGAGGCAGGAGGATCACCATCAGTTTAGGTTCAGCCTGAATTATAAACTGAGTTCAAGAACAGCCAGAGCTACAAAAATGAGACCTGGTCTCCAAAACAAAACACAAAATAACCCATAAGCACAATGTTGCCATGGATACATAGTTATTTTTGTGAATACAAAAGAAGCAAAGACTGGCAATTTATAAATCAACTTATGATCCAGCCTTGGGGTGGAGCTTTAAAGGAAATTATACCAATAGTCTTTTTATTACTTTGGTGAAACAGAAAGAACGACCTTGAAAAAGAAAAAAACCTCTCTTCAATTCTGAGTGTCAGGAATCTAGATGTTTATGTACCTAATCTCTGGCTGAGACTTCTCAGTTCCCCCACAACAGTCACAGAAGTTATGAGGCCACAGCTGAAAGACAGCTTGCCATGAGCTGTGGCGACTCTAAGACACAGGTGCTGCCCCTCTCCACCTGCCCTCAGCAGGTGCCATCTTGTGTGTCTATCTGCAGAAAGTGTCCCTGATAGGCCACACAGATACAGTCTCTAGATAACTCCACTTTGGCCTGGGATGAGGCCCCATGCAGCCCTCTCTCAAGGCAGGAACAAGGAGTAGTAACACCTTCAACAGCATTAGGGCGCTGGCTCATCCCTGGAATAGGAGACTGCCTCTCATTACCATAAAATCTCCCATGACCTGGAGGTTCCTGTTGGCTTCTCAGCTTTCTTCCCAGGCTGGGAATGTAAAACTCTTAGGTGTTGTTCTTGAAGTCCCATAGAAAAGGAGGCCTTTGGGAGGCTCGAAGGTTATCTCCTAATTGAGCTCTGTGGCTACAGTCTAGTGTTAGCCTTTCTTTCCACAAAATTATGTCCAGTTTAGAATGAGATTTCATGTAAGTCAATTTACATTTATTCAAAATTGGAGATAACTCTGAAACCAGACCTCATTTAGAAATAAGAGCAGGTACCGCCTAATCAAATGTGGGGGAACTTAAATTTTTTTAAACAATTATATTTATCTTCTTGTGTTTCCTTTTTTCCAGATCCGTGGTTTCCCTCTCATCTGTTGGAGAACCTCCGTGGTGGTACCAAGTTCTGCACATGACTTAAAGAATAAGAAGGTCAGAGGTCAGCCTTGACTTGCTCTTTGTACTTGTGGTTATTTTTGCTGTTAATTGCCTCTCATATCTTCAAACTTGTGTGGCTTCATCACTTTTTAAAAATTTTATTTAGCATAACTGCAGTTGATGTCAGAGAAATACAAGGTACTATGTGGCTAAAACCGTATCAAGGAGAAGAGGTGAGGTTAATTTACTCAGGGGAAGAAGGGCAATCCCAGATTGCTGGGTGGGAAGAGCGATTCCTCTTGTTTCATAAGAAAACTGTGCTTGAAGTATCCAATCCTGTCTCAAGTATCTTTTCCTTGAGTGAAAAAGAAAAAAATCCAAGAATTAGATAAGTCCTGGGTAGATCAAGGGGAGGGGGGCGTAAGCGGGTGGAGGGCGGTTTCCTTGGCTTGCTGATAATTCGTCTGGATTCCCTCTACATCTAGAGGAGTGTGGTAGTATCACTCAGCCTGCTTGGAATGCTGGGATGTTTTGAAGCTGTTTTGTTTTCACGGTTAGAACAACATTTCCGTTTGTCTCTGCATCTAAGGCTAGGTCAGCACTTTCTTTCGGTGTTTATTATTTTTAGCAGTTTAAAAGCTCACCATAGAAAGCGGGCAGTGGTAGCGTGCAGGCCTGGCTGAGGTCTGGTGGAGCCTATGGAAGTGTTGGCTGGCAGCGGAGCAGGGGCCTTTGAATGCAGTCTTTGTGCCTCCCTTTGCCTGTGGTCTCTGGCCTATTGTCTAGGCTTCTTGGTGCTGGTGTTGTCTGATGGTAACCAGTACTAACATTACAGTCCTCTGTGGTGCCTAAGCCCTCCCTTGGGAGCCCCCAGTCTGGCTGCCTCTCGTCCCTAGCCATCCTCCAGGGCTGTCACCACTCGCTCAGCAGTAAACAGTACTGTTAATTTATGGACTGTCATGAAAATGGGATCACTTAAGAACTTTGAAATTTGTGGTTATTTAATGCAAAAATGCAATGATTAATATTTCCCATGCTGCTAATATTTACATTAATCATTTCCCCTTTCCCAAATATAAATTCTCTGTGAACCCCAATGTCCACAACATGGAAAAGGACAGCTGCGCTATTTAAGGCTGAGAAGAGTGGCTATGAGGCCCCACCTCTGCTTCTTCCTCAGCACCGTCCCCCCAATCAGACTGTTGTCTGAAGTCCTCCACCCAAAAGAAAACCCCAGAAGACCTCAGAAAACCCACACACCACACGTCCCTGCAGGGTGGCCCTTCAATTTCAGACACAGAAGCCATAGGGGTTTCTCTACATGCTCAAACCATAAAGCATTAGACCCAAAGGAACAATCTATGAATTCATCTTTATGTATTTCTAGAAAAGGCTTGGTCCATCTACAGCAACAGGAATTAGTGTAGTCACCATTACCTCAAGGAGAAGGGGGCTCTTGCCAGGGGCCAGGAGCATAAGGAAGTTGTCTGGAGTGATGGGTGCTGTATACCTTTCTAGAGTGTGCCCCACATGGCCTGTGTCAAACATCACCTATGCACTCAAGACTAGGAATTGTCACTCCATGAACTAGAAAGATAAAGAGGAGAAGAACACAAACATTAAGGTAGGTTGTTAGTAAATGAAAAGATAACGGCAGATATTTGCACCTGAACACCTTCTTAAAGCTATGTGGGCTACCTTGTAGCTCTGGTCCTCAACACAGTTCCTGAGGTTTGGGGACACCTGCTGACCATGCAGTGCCCTCCTGGCCCACCTAAAAATAATAGGATCAGCTCTGTTTTTTTTAAATCTTTACCTACTCCTTTGGAAGTTTTCAGTGACTATAAAATGCAAGACTGTTACAGCAACTGGGACTGAAAAGCGGACCTCTGTGTTATCTCTAAAACAGCAGCTTGTGGATTCCACCGCTTGTTCTTGGTGACTGCCCCACCCTACATCCTTCTGTGTCACTTCACCTTCTCTCAATCCCCTTCCTCAGCCTGAAACACTCCATACAGTTCTCCTTAAATCTCTCCATGCCTTTGTTTAGAGGTTGGGCAGAAGGTGACATTGAAATGTAGCTAAGGACTTAGACCAAGAAAGAGGCCTCCAGGTCTGCCTCGGGGACTGAAGGGGAGTAGGGAACGTTTTTTTGCAAAGGAAGTAAAGGGACCCATGAGAGGGTCTCAGGGAGCCAAAGTAGGGAGGATAGGAAGGTGTTACACCCAGCCTTTGAGGCCATCATACTTTTCTTTGGATAGGACAGACTTTCTGGGACTTGAAGGATTTCCCAACAAAAGGCAAGGCAACGAGTTCCCCAAATGCATCCACAGGAACACAGATTTAGTTCACTAATGAAGCTATGGTAAAACTGAATCATCTGTAAAACATTTTTTAAATAACCAGAACATTTTTTTAACCCACACATGCCGTACTTTGAATGCACATGACGCAAATTTCCTAATCAAACCAAATTTAATTTAGCAAATTTTCTTCCAAACAGCTTAACGTGCATGAGAGCAGAAATGGAATTACGTAATGCAAGAGTTGGAGCAATGTTTGCTTCCTTGTGATTCAAGTCATTAAGAGTCACCTTAGCCAATGGAAAAGGCCTATCTTCTTCACTCCGGGGACAGGGAATAGTATCTTCCTAGAATCAGAGTTTTGGACATGCTCCACCCCAAATCTGACCCCTACTCTCTACCAGTGCAACATGTGATTTCAGTTTTCCATGAAATAGAATAAGGGTACAATGTCAATAATTGAAATCTAGTCTATGGATATTTTCTCCATTGGTTTTATTTTTACAATTTAAACAATACATCTATTATAACCAAACTTAACCACCTAATATAATTCAGCTAAGTGTGGGGTCTTATACCTGTAATCTTAGCTTTTGGGAGGATGGATCAGAAAAAGTCTCCATGAATTCAAGGCCAGCCTGGGCTACATAGTCAGTTCCAGGTCAGTCTGGATTACATAGTAAGACCCTGTCTCAAAAAATAAAAATAAAAATAAAAAAGATGTGTGTGTATTTGTGTGCATGTGTGCATTCGAGCACACACGCATGTTGTATGTGTCTATATGTGTAGATAGATAGATAGATAGATAGATAGATAGATAGATAGATAGATAGATCCTAGGAAGATTGGGAAGATGATATATTAAAATAGTAAACTGTTTCCTATACAAGTATGAAGACCTGAGTTTGACCCCTATCTTCTTTGTAAAATGCTAGGCAGACTGGCTTGCACTTGAATCACTTCATTGGGGAGAGAGAGACACTGGTGGGTCTTTAGGACTCACTAACCTGTCAGTCTGTAGCTCAGTGAGACATTCTGTTTCAAAGAACAAGTTGTGTGGCTCCTGAGAAATAATATAGAAGGTTGACTTCTGGCCTCCACACACATGAATGTGCATGCATGCCCACCCTTTCATTGCGTGTGTGTGTGTGTGTGTGTGTGTGTGTGTGTGTATCTGTATGTGTGTGTGTGTGTGTGTGTGTGTGTGTGTGTGTGTGTGTGTGTGTATTATGTATATAATCAAATTCACAGAAGCTGAGGTTAGAATTCTCATTGCTAATGTCTGAGGAGGCAGTCATGGCAACATTCTATCAAAAGACATGAAATGTATGAAAATTATATTGATGGATAAAATTTTCTGTTCCACAGATGAGTCAGCTATCAGCATCTGTAATACAACACTGTATATTATTCTTTTGCAGATCCCAAAACTACCTTGTGCACTTAACAAGAGCAGAGATTTTATATTAAGTGTTAAGACCAAGACCACAGTAAAAATTAAATTAAAAGGTAATGAAAGTTAAAACAAAAGTTATGAAAGGAAGAACTGCTGTTCTGCCCAGGACTCAGCAAGCTGCTAGCAGGCTCATGCTTGGATGACTTCTCTTGACCTTGCTTCTTGTCAGCTATGTCCCTTTCAGGATGAATGTCTCACAGACAGTTCTGAGCTAGCTCTCTCTAATCTTGGTCCATTCTTCCTTCAGGCCTCACCTAGCTAACTTGCCCCCTACCCACACTGTGTCTGCTTGCTTTTGGTTTATTTTTAAGCAGCAGCCTGAACATGTCCAAGCAGCACACTCCTGGAAGGGCTTTTAACAGGTGACATTGTCCTATTAAGAGTTTTCCCCTTCCACTTTCCTCCAACTATTTTCTCTAGTGTGCTATTAAGCTAAAAACAACCCAAAGCATCTTCATAGGAGAACGGACACCACCTCATGCTCATGTGGCTTGTTGCCTGTTTCTAGACCAGGAGAGAGGGGGTGGAAAGGAGCCATGTCTGAAGACCTTACTGTCCCAGTGACACAGTGGGCCTTAACTAGGCCTTCCGATCTGAATCAAATCAATGTATCCTGTCAGCTAATAGCTTTGTAAATAGCTAAATTTGTGAAGGGAATTTAGACACTGACATAAAAAGAAACTATAAGAAACTATGGCTTGAACACAAGGTTCATTTTATATCAGGAGGCAGGCCCACTGATCATCAGAGGCTTGGATTCTTTCTGCATTTCTTAGTATTGGCCTTGGTTCAAGATTCCTGCAGGAGCTCTAGACTTCACATAGGAATTCTAGACAACAGGATTGTGAGGATAAAAAGCACCATGTTTCTCCACTAAATGATCTTACCAGAATTCCACTCCTACAACTGCCTTCCACTGACTCCTAGCTACAAAGCAACCAGCAAGCATAGCTTGGTACCTCACCATCTTGAAACAATGTAGAAGTTAGTCCTGAAGATGCATCCAGACCCTCAAGCTTGGTCTCAGTTGGACAGCTGATACAGACTCTTCCATGGGAGCAGGTCCATCAGCTACTTACCTGTGCAGTTCAGCGCTTTGTTTGAAGAATGTATACTCATCCATCTGCATGTGCTATGGCACCTGTTCATATGCACGTATATTTATGTCCAGGGAAACCTTTCTAGATATAAGCTAAGCTTTGATGAAAGATCTAGATAAATTAAGGAATTTCCTAGTCTACATCTAGCCAGAAAATCAGCAAGGCTTCCATGATACAGTCTATCAGTGTCACATAAATAATG